CCTCCTCCTCCTCCTCCTCCTCCTCCTCCTCCTCCTCCTCCTCCTCCTCCCCTATCTTTCCGCGGACCTCCGAGTTCCGAGTTCCGCGCTCCTCCCCGTGCACTTGGGCGCAGCTGAGGCACAAGAAGGCACCCGTGCGTCATCCAGGGCTTCCGATGGCAAGCCTCTAGGACGGGGTCCCCCGGGGTCTCGACCCACTCCCCGGAATCGGCGCTTCGTCCTCCGCCGTTCTTTCACGGTGCTGGGGCCCAGCAAGGACCCCCAGAGGCCAAAGATTGTGAAAATGGTCCGTCTCGATTGCGTCAAGGCGTTGGACGCTTAGGGCCCCGACTGCGCTGCAGCTCTTTGGCCTTCCTGCCGTCCTGCCCGCATTGCGGCGTCGACGCGACGGCCCGCGCGGCAGCCCGCCAGCACGACGTGCTCCTGGGCGCGTGCATGGCCCTGACGGCCGCGGCCCTGACGGTGCTGGTGCGCATCGGCTACGTGGTGCTCGACTGCGGCGGGGGACACGCCCGCGGCCGCGCGCTTGGCGGAGGCGGAGATGGCCGCGCGGGCGCGGAGGAGTACGTGTGTTACGAGTCCGACGTGGAGCTGCCGAACAAGGGCATCTTCACGCTGGCGGACTGAGGCGCGGCGTGCTCGCGCAGGAAAGGCGTGCCCTCGCTCTGCGGGGCTCCGTACCACCCCTCCGTCCCGCCGTGTCCTCGGATCGGCCTGCCCTTCCCCATCTCGCGACTCGCCCTCCGCCTCCGCCTTCGCCTCCTCCTCCTCCTCCTCCTGTTCCTCTTGTCCTTCTCTGCTCCCTCCCTCCTCCTCTTCCTCCTCCTCCTCCTCCTCGTCCTCCTCATCCTCCTCTTCCTTCTCCTCCTCCTCATCCTTCGCCCCAGGGTACCGTCACTCCTTCCTCCTCATCCATGTCTTTTTCCTACAGATCTTACCCCCTCGTCGCCCGAGACTCTCCGACCATGCCTCGGAGACGCCGACTTGCCGACCCACCGCCGCCCTCCTTGCGCTTTGAGAACGCCGGTGTGGCCAAACGTTGGCCAAAGTTTGGCCAGGCTGTTGGATTGTGTATCCCCAGCCGTCGTGGAAGCCCTTAGAGGACCGCATGGGGGAGGAAGAGGGAGAAGGAGGAGGAGGAGGAGGAGGAGGAGGAGGCCTTCTCTTGGGGCCTCCTGGGGGGGCGTCCTGGGCGCCTCCTGGGGTCCCTGTAGGACCTGTTGGAGGGCTTCGTGGGAGCCTTTGCAGACCTTTTGAGTGCCTCTTGGGCAGTCCCAGGGCTTCCTTGGCCCGTCTGACGCGTTCGGTGGCCGTTTGGGGGGGGGGGGGGGGGTTTGGGTCCTCTTGAGGCACGTAAGGCCGTCTTGGATGTTTCTTGGGCCCTCTTGGGGCCGTTGTGGGGGCCTCTTGGACCGTCTTGAAGCCATGTTGGCCAGTCTTGAAGCCCGGTTGGGAGATTATTGGGAGCTTTGGGGCCATATTGGAGACCTGGGGAGGCTGTCGGGGGGCCGAAAAGGCAAGAACTGAAAATCGCTCAAAAACCAGAGTGGGTTCAATGAGTTGGGCATCTTGGGCTCTCTCACCGGACCATATGTTCCCCCAACCGTTGTGGAAATCTTTCGGCGAACACTTGGGGGAGGATGGCGGGGAAGACCAGGAGGAGGAGGAGGAGGAGGAGAAGCAGAAGGAGTAGTAGTAGTAGTAGTAGTAGTAGTAGTAGTAGTAGTAGTAGTAGTAGTAGTAGTAGTAGTAGTAGTAGTAGTAGTAGTAGTAGTAGTAGTAGTAGTAGTAGTAGTAGTAGTAGTAGTAGTAGTAGTAGTAGTAGTAGTAGTAGTAGTAGTAGTAGTAGTAGTAGTAGTAGTAGTAGTAGTAGTAGTAGTAGTAGTAGTAGTAGTAGTAGTAGTAGTAGTAGTAGTAGTAGTAGTAGTAGTAGTAGTAGTAGTAGTAGTAGTAGTAGTAGTAGTAGTAAGTAGTAGTAGTAGTAGTAGTAGTAGTAGTAGTAGTAGTAGTAGTAGTAGTAGTAGTATAGTAGTAGTAGTAGTAGTAGTGTAGTAGTATAGTATAGTAGTAAGTAGTAGAGTATAGTCGTTAGTCGTAGTCCGTAGTCGTAGTCGTAGTCGTAGTAGTAGTCGTAGTAGTAGTAGTAGTAGTAAGTAGTAGTAAGTAGTAGTAGTAAGTAGTAGTAGTAAGTATAGTAGTAGTAGTAGTAGTAGTAGTAGTAGTAGTAGTAGTAGTAGTAGTAGTAGTAGTAGTAGTAGTAGTAGTAGTAGTAGTAGTAGTAGTAGTAGAGGAAGAGGAGGAGGAGGAGGGGGAGGAGGAGGGGGAGGAGGAGGAGGAGGAGGCGGAGGAGGAGGAGAAGCCGTCATGGGGCCCTTTTGGGGGCCTCTTGGGCGATCTTGGGGGCCTCTTGGGCCGTCGGAAAGCCGAAAAGGCGCAAATGCCAAAATCCTTCACAAACCCAAGGAAAATCAATGATGTTGGCCCTTTCGGGCTTTCCTGGAGGACGTCTTGGAGGGCTCTTGGGCCGTCTTGGAGGCCTCTTGCGGGCCTGTTGGGCAATCTGAGGCCGTCTTGGGTACATCTTGGGCCGTCTTGGAGGCATGTTGGGGATATCTGAGCCGTCTTGGAGGCCATCTTGGGCCGTCTTGGAGACGTCTTGGAGACCATCCTGGGCCATCTTGGCCGTCTTGGACGCCATCTTGGGCCAACTGGAGGAAACAGAGGCACGACGGACGCGTTTGGGGGATTTTCCGGGTGGCCGGCGGGACGGGCCGAAGCCCCAGGGGGAGTTCTTTTGGAAAACAAACCCAAAAAAAAAGGGTCCAGCACGCCAGGCAGAACCTGTTGGATGTTCGTTGGGATCTCGTGGGAGGTTCTCGGGGGCCTCTTGGAGGCAGTTTGGACGGCTCTTGGAGGCCGTTTGGGGGCCTCTTGGGGCCTCTTGGGCGGCTCTTGGGAGGGCTCTTGGGGGCCTCTTGGGCGCCTCTTGCGGGCCTCTTGGGGCTTCCTGGGCGCCTCTTGGGACCTCCCGAGAGCCTCTTGGGGCGGAAGGTTGGGATTTTCGGTTTGTATTCCCTCTTGGGGTCTCTTTGGTGGCCGTCTCAGGACCCCCTTGGGCCTTTGTGGGCGCCTCTTGGGCTGTCTTGGGGCCCTCTTGGGCCGTCCGGGGATAAAACGCCATGGTAACGGCTGCGACCAGTCAGGCAGCCAGTTTGTTCGGTGCACCTCGCGAGCGATGATCACACCCGAAAACAATGTCGTCATGTGCAAGAGCACACATCTTACACGAATGGGGGCTGTTCTGTTTCAAAACGCGCTTTCGTGCGACATTTCATCTGCAAGTCATGACCACAACTGTAAAAATGCTCCACGGTCTGACACGGAAGTTGGGCGGCTCCTTTTCAACATGGGTTATAGTTGGACATGTTCGTTGCCGTGTAAGATCCTACTTACTAGCATGCTTTATGGCTACTCCAGATTTCGTAATAAAAAGGAGGGGGTCTGGACCCTCCAAGACAAGCCATTTCAGACCTCCCCCGTGGGAGAACCCTCCAACACATCGTCCCCAGACCCCCCAGGCCCTCCAAGATAGCCTGGAAGAGACCCCCCCCCGAAATGAGACCCCCCTCCCTTTATTACGAAATCTGGAGTAGAAGCGCACAGGGGTGTTCCGTTTCAAGACGGGCCCCCCGCCTGAATGGCAAGCCCGTGGGGCGACCGTCTTTCCAGAGGGTGCTGCCAGAGGTACTAGGGAACTGAAAGAGGGAACTGAAAGAGGGTGTTGCCAGAAGTACTAGGGAACTGAAAAAAAGGTCTGGAACTAGGGAAGTAGAGGGTGTTGCCCGTCTGTGGAGTCATGAAAGAGGGGTCTGGGACGGGAGGGTGTTTTGCAGCGTCATTTATGCATCGTGTGTTTCCCTTGGAGCTCCTCATCCGCATCCACATCCTTCTCCCCCCCTCGTCTTCCCATTTCTATTTGGTCTCCCTCCCTCCCATGCTTCTCCCTTCCTTTCCCCGCCTCTCCATCCTACCCCGTTGCCGTCCATCCCAACTCTCCCCTTACCCCCGTCCCTTCCCAGCCTTCCACTCATCCCCCTCCCTCCTCGTCCTCCCTTATTCCCCCCAGATCTCCGACGTCGTGATTGTTGCCCGAGGCGGAACCACCCGAGGTTGAGACTCCTTCCCAGGGACTGGCTTTTTTATCCTGAGCTTTGTTTTCATTTCCCCGAGGCCCAGTAAGGGCCCCAGAGGACGAAGATAGAAGCAACAACAGCAAACATCAGTTCAAGATTGTTCACTCTTATCTGCTCGCGTGCCATTCCACATGTGTACCCCAAACCCTCGATACCCGCCCTCTCCGTCTTCGATCGTGCCCCCTTGGGGGATATCTTCCTTACCTGCCACGTGCATTTGGCGCAGCCCCTAAAAAAGGGGAAGAGAGGACGGATGGAAGGTGAGCGTTTTTTGTATTCGGCGTTTCGGCATTGGGCGGAAAGGGGGGGAGGGGGGGTCTGCCTCCGGACCTCTGCTTAATGCGTCTGTTTGCAGCAGTGCGCCCCATGAGGGAGACTTCATCCGCTCGAAACATGCGCCAAAAACAGCCAAGATCTACTCCATGGGGGGGGGAGACGGGGTGCGAGGGCCCGCGCCGATCGGCAAAGCAATAAATAAAACAATGATCAAAAGGAAGGGACAAGGATGAGGGAGAAGGATGGAGCACGAGAGAGATTAGCAGGAGAGGGGCCAGGAGCAGAAAACACGCCGCAGGGAGAGACGGGCAGATCGGGCGGGTAGACCCTGACGGGTGGGTCGGGAAGGCGGGCCACGCGGCCGGGTCAGGCAGGCGGGCTGCTGAAGCGTGAGTGCGGCATGAATCGCGAGGAAGTCTCGAGCGATAGCGCCATTCCCACGGAAATCGTGAGAAAGGCCAGAGCGAGAGCATGATTCCTGAGTGTCGAGGGCGTGGCGTTTCAATGAATTGCGAGGGAGTCCCACGCGAGAGCGTGATTCCTGCATACGTTGTGAGGAAGTCCCGCGCGCGAGCGCGATTTGGGAATAAATTATGAGGAAGTATCAGGCAGGAGCCGTGGTGATGTTCAACCGAGGGCCAGGGGCACAATTTGAGGCACAAGAGCTTCCCTTTTAAAAGACAGAGGGCGAGTCCCAGGGAGAGCACTCTCCTTGAAAAACAGTGCGGGCACTGGAGAGGGGGATGGGATCAGCAGTAACTATTATTTCGCATTTTTTCCATTACACGAGGGGGTCTGGGTCCTCGTCTCCCCATTTTTCTTCCCTCCCCATGGCCAGACGTTTCTGGGACACGCGACTGGCGTCTGCGTCCCGGGGCGACATCTCCGGCCAGCTTACAGCTGCGGTAAGAAGAAGGAGGAGGAGGAGGAGGAGGAGGAGAAGCGACGGCAGGGCGGACGGGGTTCGGAAGAAAGGGGGAGGAGAAGGAGGAGGAGGGAGAAGGGAGGGAGGGAGGGAAGAGGAGGAGGAGGAGCAGCAGGAGGAGAAGTGGTGGTGGAGGAGGAGGAGGAGGAGCAGGAGGAGCAGGAGGAGCAGGAGGAGGAGGAAGACCAGCAGCATAAGGAACAGGGGGAGGAGCAGGAGGAGGACCAACAGCAATAGGAGGACGAAGGGCAGGACAAGAAGGAGGCGAAGCAGGAGGAGGAGAAGGGTGAGAGTGAAAAAAACAGCGGCTACCAGCTGGCCAGGATCCCCATGGCGGATCGACCTGCCAGCTGGGGTACCGAGGACTGGCGGCTTTCCTAATTCTCCTCTCCCTCAGCCTCATACCTCTCTCTCGTCCTCCTTCGTCATGTTCCTCGTCCTTCTCTTCCTGCTCCTCCTCCTCCTCCTCCTCCTCGTCCGCCTCCTCATCATCTTCATCATCGCCAGCATTAGCAGTATCATCAGCAGCAGCAGCATCATCAGCAGCATCATCATCACCATCATCATCAGCACCATCATCCTCATAATCATCATCAGCAGCAGCATCATCGTCCTCATCATCATCAGCATCATCATCGTCGTCGGCGGCATCGTCATCGTCATCATCAGTATCACCATTATTACCAGCATAACCATCATCAGCATCAGCATCATCATCCTCATCCTTACCATCGGCATCATCAGCAGCATCATCCTTAGATTCATCATAATCATCGTCATCATCATGACCATCAGCATCGCCGTCGTCATCGTCATCGTCATTGACATCATCGCCGCTATCGGCATCGTCATCAGCATCAACAGCATCATCATCAGCAGCATCATCGTCAGCATCAGCAGCATCACCAACGCCAACAACAACAACAACAACAACAACAACAACAGCAACCGCAACATTAACAGCAACAACAACTAAACCAACAGCAGTAATAACAACAAAACCCACAATACGAATAATAATAATAACAACAACAACCCAACAAAAAAAAAAACATAAAGAGCAACAGCAACAGCAGCAGCCACAACAATCACAGCAACAACAATGACAACAACAACAACAACAACAGCAGCAGCAACAACAACAACAACCACAACAACAACGACAACAACAACGATAACGCAAACAACATCAAGAGCAACAACAACAACAACAACGACGACGACGACAATATCGACAACAACGACAACAACAGCAGCATCATCATTATGCCATTCCTCCTCCCCTGTTATGCTGTTCATTTCCCTTCTCTCCTCCTGCAGCGGACAGATTCTTACTGCCACCAGCCAGGCGTCGGTTACCACCCACAGGGCTGACTTTTCATCATGGGAGCGTCGTCCGCCGCAGAGTGACAAAGCGACCACAGAGCACAAGGACCCCGATTTACGACTCCGACTTCATCCACATCCCCCTCCTCCCTCTGCCTGCCTCCTCACTCACCCTCCGTCCTCCTATTCCTCCCCGGTTCTCCCCCTCCTCCTCCCGCCTGCCCTTCCCTCCTCTTCTCTGCTCCTCCTCCCTTGTCCTCCCGCTCCTCCTCCTCTCCTCCTCCTCATTCGCCTCCTCCTCCTCCTCCTCCTCCTCCTCCTCCTCTTCCTCCTCTCCTCCTCCTCCTCCTCCTCCTCCTCCTATTAGTCCTCCTCCTCCTTCCCCTCCTGCTCCTCCTTCTCCTCCTCTTCACACTCATTCACCCTCATCCTCCCCATCCTCCTCACCATCGTCATATCGCCATTATCCTCATTATCATGTCATCATCATCATCATCATCATCATCATCATCATCATCATCATCATCATCATCATCATCATCATCATCATCATCATCATCATCATCATCATCATCATCATCATCATCATCATCATCGTCATCGTCGTCGTCGTCATCATCATAATCATCAGGATCATCATCCTCATCCTCATCCTCATCCTCATCATCTCAACCCCCTCCTCCTCCTCCTCCCTCCGTCCCTCCCTCCCTCCCTCCCTCCTCCTCCACCTCCTCCTGCTCTTCCTCCTCATCCTCCTCCTCCTGCTCCTCCTCCTTTCCTTTTCCTTATAAATAACTTCCCCCTGTTCTTAGAGCGGGCGGGGCCAGTTTTTAGGGCGGGCCAGGCGTTTCGCCTGAGATTTCCCCACCATCTATGACTCTGAGGCTTCAAAAGTGACAACAGTTTCACAGATGGAAGGCGGGTGGTTTTCAAAAATGTGACTCTCGCCTTAGCGCCGCGCACATTCGTTTTATAAGAATTTCAAGGGTTTCACGGATTAAGGGCGGGTGGTTTTCAAAATGTGGCTCTCGCCTTAGCGCCGCGCACATTCGTTTTAAGAAATTGCAGGGGGGTCACGGATTGAGGGCGGGTGGTTTTCAAAATGTGGCTCTCGCCTTAGCGCCGCGCACATTGGTTCATAACATTTTGAGATAGTTTCATGGGTTCCCATGATCAACGTACCAGAGTTTGTGTTTTGGAAGGATTCAGGATTGTGCGGGTGCAACAGTTGTGTTGATTCGCGGCGTTGAAGTTCCAAAAATGGTTTTCTGGCACGTTTCTGGATCCGCGAGACGCAGCAGTCAGGTTGATTCGTGGCGTTGAAATCCCGAGAACAATGCTTTGGCATGGTTCAGGGTCTTCAAGGGTGATTCCGACGAGGCAGTGCCCTCAATGGAAATGAACCGCTGTAGGGGCTTATGAAAAGGGAGCTTGGAGGGAGGGTCAATTCCAACATCGCTGATGACGCTTTAGTTTACACTGGTCCTCCTCCTCCTCCTCCTCCTCCTCCTTCTCCTCCTCCTCCTCCTCCTCCTCCTCCTCCTCCTCCTCCTCCTCCAGGGTGGCGAGACCGGGCGCTAAGGCGTGCACGCGCAGGGCCCCTCCGAGGGAGTTCAGAAAGGAGGGCGCTCGCAGAGTTCCGGGGGACCAAGCCTGGAGCCCGTGAGCGTTGCAGAGCAGTGCGCAGTGTGGAACGGGGGGCCTGATGGGCCCCTCCGCGCGAGCCCACGCGCCCACCGGGGCCACACGGGGCAGAGGAGAGTGAGAGGGGGAGGGGCGAGAGCCTCCTCCCTCTCCCCGCCCCCCCCGTGCACTCGCGGCCTCCTCGGGCCCCAGTAGGGAGCGCCTGCGCGGCCCACCGAACCCCCCCCCCCAAGGTGCGCGCGCCGACCCGCCCCCCCCCCCGCCGCGCGGGAATGAAGCTGCCGCCGCGGCCCGTCGCGGCCCTGCTGGTGGCCGCCGCGGGCCTCGCCCCGCCGGCGGGCGCCTCGCGCCTCGCGCAGGACCTCGGCTCTCGGGGAGGGCGCCGGCTCTGCGGGTCCAGGCGCAGGCCGCGGACCTCCGGCGCTTGGACCAAGAATCGGGGCGTGGGTCGTCCGTCGTGTTCGGCCTCTCGGGGCCCTCGCCAGGCCTCGGGGCCGTCAAAGAAGGACTCCGGATGAAAAACCGGTCCCGGGGAAGCGCTCGAGAGATGTGGGGCCCGTCTTCCAAAAATCGAGGCGCAGGATGTCTGGGGACGTTGCGGTGAGGACCAGTCGGGGGTCAGGAGGGGCTGACCGCCCCTGAGATCTGGGCCGGAGAGTCATCTTGGGCCATCTCGGACGCTCTGACCGCTCGAGATCCCCCTCCAGACCCAGCAGGGGGGGAAGTAGGTGGAAGGGTAAACCCCTCCCCGAAGGGGAGGAAGGGGGTTGGAAGGGTAAACTCTATTGATCACCTCCACCTCCGCCCAGAGGGCGAAGAGGCCGTACCACTTACTCCCTCGGTCCCGAGTGCCTCGCTCTGCAGCGGGCCGCCCTTTGTTTGCGCTCGCCGTGTCGACACGGGGTGCGGCACGATGGCGGATTCTGCTGACGGCCTCCTCCTTGCACCCGCTTGATTTCAGTAGATCGTTTAACCGACCCCCATCCCCATCCTCAGCCCCTTCGAGACCCCCACCTAATTTTCACCCCAGCTGGGGACACACCCGTCGAAACCCGAAGGGATAGGCCAAAATCCCCATCTAGGGGGAGTAGATCGGCCAGTGGGGCCCAGGCCACGCCGCTGGGGATGGGGATCGGTTAAATGATGCCCATGCTGAGGAAATGGGGGGGGGCAGGGAAAGGAGGAGGGGAAGAAGAAGGGGGGAGGAGGAGGAGGAGGAGGAGGAGGAGGAGGAGGAGGAGAGAGGAGGAGGGGAAGGGGGAGGAGAGAGGAGGAGGAGGAGGAGGAGGAGGAGGAGGAAGGGGAGGAGGAGCAGGAGGAGAAGAAAGGAGGAGGAGAGGAGGAGGAGGAGGAAGGGGGAGAAGGAGGAGGAGGAGGGGAGAGGAGGGAGAGAGGAGGAGGAGAGGGGGAGGAAGGAGGAGGAGGAGAGGGGATCGGTGAAAAGAGGCTCACTACTGACGGGAGGTCCGGCCATGGAGGACAGGCGCCGAAGCGACAGGAGGGCTCGGGAGGGGTGCTGGCTCTTGGGCGTCTCCCGCGAGAGGTCAAGTTCTCGGGGTCGAGCCCGCCCGTGGCCCCCGAGGGGTCCCTCTGCGTTTTCCTTGCTCGGCGCTCCCCCGTGGCCAGACGGCCCAGCACAGCGCCCCGTGGCCTCCTGTAGGGAGCTCCACCGAAGGCCCTACGTGCGCAGGCGCGCCTGGCACACCTTGGGCGTGCCCCGAACGTGGCGAACCTGGCGCGGCTGGAGCATGCGGCACGCATGGCGCACGTTGATCACGTGACGCATCTGGCGCACCAGGCGTGCCTGGCACGCTTAGGCCACAGGTCGGGACGACGGACATGGGTACGGGAAGAATGGGCACGATGCCCAACAGCAGTTTCTGTTCATTTTGAACAGGACTCGCTGTCCGCGCCGCCGCGGCCTGTGCCCATCTGAGACGGGAGGCCGCATGCCCAACAGCGGCCGCTGTTGGTTCGGGACAACACTTGCCGTTGGGCATTGTGCCTATTGTTTCCGTGCCAATTTCGGGCGTCCAAACAGTGGGGGGCCCGCATGCGCCGCCCCCACCCAGTACAGCGTCTCGTGGCCCCATAGGGAGCCCCACCCGAAGGCCCCAGGGGGGGGGCCCGCATGCGTCCTGGTTGGACCCAGCTCTCCTCTCGACGAGGAAGATCGGCATGAGCAGAGAGTGTCGGAGGTCCGCGCCGACTTCCGGAGCTTCCTGTTCTCGCCGGTTGTTCTTCCGCTGCCCTCGCCCAGTTCGAGGCCCGAGGCTCGTGGACGCCTTCTCGCCATCCTCGGGCCTCCTGGGGGGCTTCTCGTGGCCACGCTCGGGTTCCCCTCGAGGCTGTTGACGCTTCGCACATCCCCGCCGTCCCATCCAGCAACGATG